GGCCCCTGCGTCAGCCACGACCGTGGCCCCCTGCCCGCTTCCGCAGCGGGGGGACCCCCCCATCCCCCGGAGGGGGCTCGGGCTGCGGTTCTTGTCACCGGCACCTTTCAGACCTTCTCCCAAAGCCCCTCGTCGCTGTCCCGGTGGCAGGATGCGCCAGATGCGGATCTTCCACAGCGCAGCTTCGACAGCGGGGTGAAGTCTCCGAACGTGCCTGAAATGGGGCTTTTTTTCCATGTTTTATTTAATCTCCATCCTTCACGGCATCCTTGGGGCTGTTAGGATCCCTCGGTGGAAATAGCCGTAGCGATCAGGGCTCACAGGACGTGTCTGCTCGTTCCCGCTCTTCGTTAGCCGTCGGGATCCTATTAAAAGTCCTCCAGCGCCTGCGAGGACAAGGAGGGGACCGTGATGGGGTCGGACGCTTCAAGCTGCCGGCAATTCCTGAATCACATTTCTCCCGCTGTCGTAGTTGTCTTTAAACGCCCCAAAAAAGCAATGATTTCGGGTTGTTTTTAAACCAACAGCAGTGGGAGCTGCGTGGGGATAACACCGTGTCTGGGGATTCGCCTCTGGCTGCGTGTTGGTGGGGTTCAGTTTTATTTTACCGGGATTAAATCCAGGGGATGGGGCTGGAAGAGATCCCAGGGGGATTTTGGGGAAACTCAAGGTGGGGACAGTCCCCTCCGGCCACCACCAGGATGTGGCACGTCCCCTCGTCCCGCCGCCTCCCATCGCCTGGCGCAGCGGTGGGATTTTGGAGCCCGGGGAGTTAATCCCGTCAGGTGACTGATTAATTTTTGTCGAGCTGTTTGTTTTGTAAGGAACCCTAGCTCCCCCCCACACACACCAAAAAGCTTTTCCAACCCTCCCGAGGCTTTTTAATTCCTCGTCGCACGGCAGACAGGTAAAGGGACGATGCCAACAAACCTGCTCCCTCCTGGAATCTCCAGGTTTGCGAGGCTGCCGCACTGATTTTTTTTTTTTTTTTTTTTTTTTTTTTTAAACTAATGGGGAAGAGTTCCTAATTGGTGCATGGGGGTGGCTTCGTGTCAAAACCCGCTGCCTCCCCCCTGAAGGAGGGGAGAGAAAAGCATCAGGAGCTTTCCCAGCTGTTTTTTGAGCATCTCTCTCTTCTCCCTGCAGGTTGTCTCCGCTCTCGCTGCTCCTCCCGCAGCCGCCGCCGGCGTTAGCCGCTTCCCCGGTCCCGCGGCAGAGACGGGGCGAGAACCTGCGGCACCACCATGAACGAAGTGTCGGTCGTGAAGGAGGGTTGGCTGCACAAGAGAGGTGAGGGGTGGGACCCGGCTCCGGTTTCCAGTTCCCGGTGATTTTTGACATTTTCCCGTCACAAATGGGGGGGGTCCTCCGCTTCCCCTTGCCACAACCCAAAACAATTTCCAGCCACCCCGTTTATTTTTAGCCGTACACGGGGAGCGTCGCGGCGCTGGAGCAGCTGCGCATGTGGGGTTTTATTTTTAGCCCCATTGAAGGTGGATCTTCTCTTTCCTTCCCTCTCTGAGGGCGGTTTGCGAGGGGAGCGGGCGTGAAACCCATCCATCTCCCGCCACCGGCAGCCTGGCCGGATCCCTGCATCCAGCAGGTTGTGGGTTTTTCCAGGAAAAAATATCCAGAGAGGGGGAAGCTGCAGCCTCCCTCTGATGCAGTTTCTTGATCTGAAGCTGCTGTGGGTGCTTCGGGTCTGTTCTGGAGGTGCCGGGGGGAGCACGAAGCTTTTTTGTGCTGTGTTCCCTCAGAGTGAGCGTGTTTCAGGCTAAATTACAGCAGCGGCCACTTGTTGCAGGAGTTTCTCTGAAGCAGCTCCTGGAAACAACCTGAAGCAAAACGTCCGCTTAATTTTTCCATCCAGAAGGAATCACTCTGCTGCTTAATTTTCCATCTCAGGAGCGGGAATCCCCCCCAGGAGAGGTCCTTCCCTGAAAACCCCCCCGTCCACCCCCCGTACCATTCTCTCTTTTAGGGGAATACATCAAAACGTGGCGTCCCCGG